AATCAGTTTAATACATTTGACACATTGCCGGTGAACTGACTCTTCGATGAAAAACATAGTCCCTTACAAGACACTGAGCCTCACCCTCTTAGATCCCTCTGTAGCGTTCCAGTCATAACAAGTAATCTTCTTTATCCACAGGTTTGGCCATTTCAAAATACTAGAGAGTGCAATTAATATAAATAGTTCTCGGGCCTTCAGGTTCTCAGGGTCTTCAGCCTCCTTTTTCTAGCTTGTATTTTTAGGACTCCCCTTCTTCTCTGTGCCTGAAGCAAAGCCTGGGAATTTGACAGGAGTTTTGACGTATGTCTTGCTGGATGTTGGGTTAGGCCTCATATGCCTCTGATGCAGACTGTGCTATGAAGGAAACACTTAAAATTTGCAAGTTAGGACCAGGGGCTGACACGCGCTTGTAAAAATATGGAAGGTGTCTGTGTTTTATGGAGATAATGACAAATGAAGAGTTACTTCCCCTTTTCCCAGAAATTTTTACACACACAAGCACACACACACATACATACATATTTTGGCAAACCAATCTAGTATTCCAGTTCCGCAAATTATTGACAAGGTGATGACAGGAATGTTGACACCTTTAAGTCACTTCTTTGAGAGCATTAAATAACTACATTTTAGCTCAAGGAAATCTTAACTTTAAAACAAAAAGGCTACAGGAAACCCATATATTGTTACTGGCAAAAAATGTGTCTGCTGTGTTTTTCCACGCTCCTGATCGTATACGGAATCCCAAATGACCCGCACATCTGATTTTATAATCATTTTGTGTGAGGAGTTTAGATGGAATACTACTTGTAATTCTGTCATTTTTCTGTATTAATGTCATCAATGCTCTTGATCTGTCCTAGATCTTTCACATTTTGTACTAATGTTTGTTACAGTATTTTCCAAATTTTTGAAGCAAAAAGTCTTTCAAGAAGATGAACAACAGCCCCTTCTTGGGAATTGACTCAAAGCCAAATGGTCTTAATTTGTATAGCTCTTGCCTTACACTTCCCTTCTTTGGAAATCACTGTTCCATTATATGTTATTGCTTCCCCTTCCTCATATGCCTTGATGAGTAGTAAAACATTCTACAGTGTTGACATTTAAAATATCATCACTGGCATGGCTGATGGATGAGTGAAGGACTGACTGAGAGAGTTCTGTCTTCAGAATTGATTTTTTCAGACTCTCTGCAAATTCAGGCTCTAGCCGTGGTTGTTTTTGTATCGGTTATGATTGCCACACATTTTTGAGCTTTGCTTTGCATACATAAGTGGGGCAGTTCTTTTTACTATAGTTGCTGTTGTCCATGCACATCCAGTGTGTTGTCCTTCAGCTGCCCCAAAAGATTTGTGCTGCACTTTGAAAATAACAGTTAACTGCATCACAGAAGTTAGATATGAGGCAAATGCCAGTCAGAGCTTGCACTGCCTTTACATACCAATCCCTGGCTGTCACCTGGAGCGTCTTACCAGTTTGGATAAACTTTCCATGTTGTAGGTTCATGATTTGTCACTACATTTTTATTTTCATTGCTGTCTTTGATCTCAGAAAAAGCCTTGCACAGATCCAGGAGTCTGTTGACATAGTCCTTTTTGCCCATCTGGGCCTCTGAGTTCATTACAGGACAAAAGAAGGCTCATGAAAGCGGAGCTTCAGAAAACATTATATTTGCCAAATAGCATAGCATTTATAAGTCTATTCTATCTCTTATTTGGGGCCTCATATCTGAGTTTTCAGATTGCTGCCTGCCCCATGCTTTCATTGATGTAGCTGTGACAACCCAACAATATTAACAGTACTTATTATTACTGTGGCAATGTAGAGAAATCCATCCCACGTAAGAACTGCAGTACAAGCAGAAAATGAAGAGATAGACTCTTTGTCCCTGAGATTACTCGCTGAAGGTCTAGACTGCAGGGGGTGAGTGGATGCAGAGAGATGGGGAAGCAGAAAGAAATGATGTTACGTCCACTTATTGTCCAGCACTACTGGTGACAGCTTTATATAGGTTTCCCTTTTGAAATCTGCTGTAGTTTCTTCAGCTGGGTCAGCAATTCCTAGTTGTTCCTGATGCGCCTTTGCTAGCAGCTGTGGTGATAGCATACAGGTCCCTGACCTGTTCTTCAGATCATTTTGTCTAGGGTTAGTGTCAAGAAACCCCAGCTATATGGTGCTAAGCTCTGTATAGCCGTAAGCAACAGACAGTCTGTCCCTGAAAGCACAGTCTAATCAAGTACAGTGAAGATCACTGACTGCACGTGGTTTTAGAGTATGTGGCTGCTGTTCATGTGAAACCTGACAGTGAGATATACAGCGTTATCAGCGCTGTCTCAAATCACCAGCAGTCTGTTAAGGTAATGTACTGCGCTAGTCAGTCCCCTTGCAACACAGCAGGGCTGAGATGATAGTATCTTCTAGCCCGTTTGCTAATGAGACTTAGGTTACTGATATTTAGCAAAAGATGCTGTTACAGTAAAAATTATGGACAGGTAAAAGCACATCAAAAATCAGTGCCTTGACTTTGCATTTTGTTACAAATGGTGTTTCCTTTTCAGTATACGGCTGCGGGTATGTTTGTAAATAAAGTTTTTCTTCGTACTAATGGAAATTTCTGAATCTATACATGTCCCTTTCTCCAAACTGGCATTATTTTAACATGAAAAGAACTACCCCTATATCCTTGTCATTTAATAGAAAACTGAAAATCTTTAGATTTGACAATTGAGAAAAAGGGCCAACATACAGGCAAAGTTCCTCTGTACAGAAGATGAAACAAAGGGACTACATTTGCCTCTAGTTATGCTAATTTGTCACTCCAAGCAAAGTGTGATTGCATTCTCTCTAGCCAGTTCTATTCTTCATATCTTAAAGAAGAGATACAGCTGAAATAAAGAGCATTAGGAGATGGGCAATGAAAGTAATTGAGTCACAGAGAGTTTTCTGTTTGAGGAGGGATGGAAAAGATAGGATTGTTTTAATTTAAAGAAGAGACAAATAGGAGAAGACGTGACCGTAGTGTGCAGGATGATGAATGATATAGAGAAGGTGAATTAGGTGCTCTTGCTTGCCCCTTCTCAAGTATGGAAGCAGAGGGACATTCAGTAAAGCTGAAAGGCAAAAGTAATACCACTGTGTAAAGGCAATTTTTAAACAGTAGCTACCTTGTTCCTATAAGCTCATCTTGTTTCTCCGTGATTCTAGAGCATGTATCGAGGGAGATTCAAAATACCTATGGAAAACAAATTCAGGTTGTCTTTTTAAGCAGAGGTTATGGGCTTACTGCAAACACTACTGGATCAGGTTATATGGCTTGTGTGAAGGAGGAGAACTGGTTACTGAGTCTTAATGGTCTTGCCTAGCCTTCAAAATATGTGGAAGGTGGGTAAGGTATCAATACATGTAATGAAACTATCCATGTATGTAGTAGGTCAAGTAAAAAAGTAATCATTCAGACCAGAAATCTGTTGGTGATGGAAAAAATATTGCTCTGTAGTTGTCCATCATGTGATTTTTTTGCGTCCTTCTGTGAAGTATCTGCTGGTGACCCTTTAAAGGACTGATATCCCACCACATTGGTTCAGTGCTCTACTCTAAGGGCAGAGCAGGCGTCCGTCCGCAAGGAAGTCGTAAGAAATACATTTATTCTTCCTGAATATTCTTGTCTGGTATTCTCTTGCTTTCTGATATTCAATTTAATAGTCATCTCTAATTCATAAGTTTATATCTAGATTAAGCAAAGAAAGTAATTTGACCAGCAGATTCTGGGGAACTTCAATAAATGGCATAAATTGTGTATGTATCCCCTCACCTCAGAAAAAGCAGGGAAGGTGAAACTTGCAGATATCTGAATGGTTTAGGAGCAAGTGTGATCACTTTCTGGTTAAGGTTATTACAGTATCTGGTTAGGTCCCTTGCTACTTCTAGAATTGATCCCTGACACTCTTTTTGTTATTTTTTATTTTATAATACCTCAACGTACTGCTTTATTTCACTTACTGCAGTTCTGACCCATCATCTGGGGTAGCATGACTGCCTCTTATCTGATGTCTGTATCTGGTCTGTTACGATCTAATGAATAATTCGCTAGGCTGGGGCACTGAAGACCTGGTTCATGTTTGCAAGGTAGCCTTTCCATGCCTCCATTTCCCACACCTGAAAATGAGGGAACTTGTAATTCCCTCCTAGGTAAAGCTCTTCCAAGTTTTTGGGTGAAAAGCACTAACTATGACCTAGGGAAAATAATTGCCTTTTTTAGTAGCAGTACCTCACATTTTCTAATTAGGTCTCTGTTTCTCACTGCGCTAAGAGACATTGTGAATGCATTTGCCGATACTCTCAGTAGTAAACTTTGTGCAATTGTGAAGCATTTTAAATATTTAGTATTTAACAAGTTCTGAAGTGTTTTATGAATCATATAAAGTATATAATTTGCAAAATTTTGTAGGAGTGGATATATATATATGTATGTATGTATACACATATATGCTATGTATATAAACCGTGTAGTAGGAATATATTTGCCCACTACTGCACTCCAACTGCATCTGAAATAATTATGTAAGTACCTAGGCAGCCCTGAACTCTCATGCTACAACATGATGAAGAACAGTTTAGCCACCTGTTTAGCCATGAGAAAATTTAATTGCAAATGTAATTACCTGGTCAGAGGTATGCAAATTTTATGTCTAAACTAAAGTGAAAAGAAACATTCAGTCTAATTTTCTGGCATTTGTCAAAAGCCCTCAGAAATAGGCTGCAGGCTAAGCTACCTCTCATAAATCTCAGCTGAAGACTTGCTGCTGACTTTTTAAGGCTAAATCATTTCTATTGTTCTCAAGTAACTACATTTTTGTTGTTATCTGTGGAAAGACCCCCCTGGGTTGGGCACGTAAGTATATGGGGGTGGGGGGACAGGATTTGTGTTAGTTAACTGGGGACGATAAAGTTGAAAACATAGCAGCAGGACGTAAATCAGATTTTTTTTCTTTTTCTAGTTGGCTCGCCACAATAAAACATTGCAGCAGATGCTGAAGCCAGGGTCAGATCCAGATGAAGGAGATGAAGCCTTGAGGTATTATGCCAATCATACGGCGCAGATAGAGGTAAAGGATTACTCACTAAGAGGTTGAATATGAGACAAGTTTGCATCTTATGCATGATATATTACTTCTTTTTGCACTTCTGAACAGCAAATCTTATTCAAATGGTATAGATTATTTATGAAAAGGAAAAAGTTTAATGATACACTTTTGGCTATGGGAGAGAATGGGATGCACCTATGTTAAAAGTGGCTTCAAATACTTGGTTTACAGTAGCTTCCTGTGTGTTACCCAACATTTTTTTGTTAGGAAAATAATTACTGTGGATATTAGCTGTGTCATAGAGTCAAGCATAATCTTGCATGGTGCATCACTCAAATAAATAATCGTGAGTTTCAAAGCCAGTGATGCTAACTGATCGAATTAAATGTTTGGCTGCAGTACAAAGAGGTTTTGAGGTGGTGTAGACATTCGGTATGGCTTTTGTTTAAAAGAGCAAGGCTTGGCCTGGTTCATCAGTTCTGTTCTCTATTTTAAACTTTACCCCTGCCATGGACTGGATTTAGATCAAGATCCACAGAGATATATAGGCTCTGAACTCTCATATCAGTTCCTGTGCCCTTGCAGATTTCATGCGCTTTTAGGCATGAAGATAGGAGTATCTCTAGTCCTTAGTGACTTTAAACAAAAGAATTTCTAGGGTACAGAGGCAGCTGCTGCAAGAGACTGATACTAAGTGCAAAAGTTGGCTGAGCAGGAAAACTGTACAGGGCGGTTGCCCACAGGCACAACCTGACCCTGAGCTAATATATTTCCCAACTCTTTCCGGTTCCTTGAGAGCTCAGTGGGCTCCAAGGCCTGTCTGCACTGGCCCTGAGCTTGCGTGCCCAGGGAGCCATCTGATGCAAGTGCCTCAGGGCAGGTCACTGTTGGGGCCCTTCTCTGCCACCCCAGGCCGTCTTGCTTGCCTCATACTGGTCCCATTGCATCACTGCCGGGTGGGTGGAAGCTCCCTGGCTGTGGGTCTTGTCCACAAGGCACCTAAGTGCTCCTCTGACTATATTTTAATGCTTTGGATGCTCCTGAGGTATCTCGTAGCACATGTCAGCTGAGTGAGTTATCTGAGAAGGCTGCAAATTTAGGCATCCAAACAAACACTGTGGCCTGCTTCTACATGGCCAACAGTTTCTTCCTCTTGTGTAGTTGCTGAAAACTCCTAAAACCTTGTGGCAACAAACTCTAGAGAAGCCTGTTCCTCCAGCAGGTATGAGGTCCTGTTTCACTGGTCTCTGTCCTCTGGGATCCTTTTTGAATCTCGTTCTGCAGAGCAACATGTGCAACCTCCCTCTTCATTTGAGTCCTTAGGTGAATTTAAGCTGTGCTTTCAGCTCCCTTCACATTAGGCTAGTTGCTAGTCACATAGTTGTGCAGTGCAGCTGCTGGCCTGAGGAGCTACTGTTTATCTAGGACACTTTAAAAGAGCCTTTTCACCTTGGGACCTTCAAATAATGCATGTGCCCTTGTGAAGACACAAGCGTAATTATCATTCATCTCTAAGGCAGATGTGCTTAAATATGTTACATTTAATAAACTACTTTAAAACAATTTTTAAAAAATATTTTCACATGAGAAATACCAATTAGCAGAGAGAAAGGAGGGTTCCTGAACGTGTGGCTGTGACAGGAAAAGTGAAACGTGACCTGGTGTTGCTCCTGTAATAAATGAAAGTTTGCTGTTCTTTCACTGAAAGCAGTCCTAAACTTGTTTGGCTTTTCAGATATAGCTCCCTAGCATCAGAACATCTCATCTGTTTGATTTCAAAGTCAAATGGTGGGATTTTTAACTACTGGCTCTACAGAGACAAGGGTGTAGGAATCAAGATGAGTTTTCTACGCATTACTCCATTATTGGTAACACTGACTCCATGGTTAGAATGGGGAAGCAATTTTGATGACAGTGTAGTGAGGTGGAATAAAATCTAGCTCGCTCGCTGATAACTCAGTAGGTTCTGAAATATAAACAAATGCAAAACCTTGGGTAAAAAGTGGAAAGATATGGGGGCTATTTTCACATGTTCACCTTCACAGCTTATGTCGTCGTAGAAATAGACTCAAGGTGAAAAAAGAAGTCCATAAGGTGAGCAGAAAGCACCTGAACTTCTGCAGTGTTTGCTGGGAGAGATTTGCTTCAACCCATTGCAAAGTTGAAGCATTCCAAGCTGGAATATTTTTAAAATTTGAGGAATCTTTGGACCTAGGTTTTGCCTGAAGCACTTATTTATTACCTTACTTTCAGGCAGGCTTTTGAAGACAGAAATGCAGTTTTACTTTTATGTTTTGGAATTAATTGGGTCAACCTCACTGAAAAGTTTAAATAAGTTTTACATTAATTTATAAGTAAGAAGGGAGCTGTGAGCAAGAAGAGAAATGACAGAGTGAGTGGAAAGTCACTGATCCTTTTTTATTTACAGATTGTTCGTCACGATAGAACAATGGAACAGATTGTCTTCCCTGTCCCCAATATCTGTGAATTCCTGACTCGGGAATCCAAAAGTCGTGTATTCAATACTACAGACAGAGATGAGCAAGGGAGCAAAGTGAATGACTTTTTCCAACAGACAGAGGATCTGTACAATGAAATGAAATGGCAAAAGAAAATTCGGAGTAAGTACTGCAGATTCAAAAAATTGTTTCTAAGATGCTGTAGTTATGCTAAAAAACCCCCTGCATTTAAGCTTTCAGATATTTTCCATTTTAGTAATTTACTTTTCTCTGGTCAGTCTGATATTGCAACAGACAAAACCGTTCAGAGCCTATGAGTGTAGGTCAGCAGAGACACTTGCATGCCGCGAGAAAAGAGACATAATATGGAGCAGTTACTAATAAGTAATGTGTTCAAGATGATATTCTGGACTCCAAAAGCTAAATTAAGAGCTGGATGAAGTGGGTGTAGCTCCACTAAACTCGATAGAGTTGCACTTAATTAAGCCAAGGCCCCTAATATTTAGCAAACTCATGTGTAGTTGCATATTTGAGGTTTGCAGATTCCTAAAAGACCACTTAAAAACTTGTAAATGTTATTCACTTTAAAACATCCCTCACCAGAATCTCAGCTGCTTTAAATCAGTTTGACTCCTGTGAAGTCGGTTCCCCTCTGCCAGTTGACATCAGCCTTGCTTGACGGGGCTGCGGTACGTCCTAGTCTGCCAGCCTTCACCGACCAGTGTCCTGTGGTGGCGGGTGAGGCAAACGTACCTTCCTAAGCCATCTGCAGCCTGCAGATGTGACAGGCCCTGTCAAGCTCATGGGGTGGATCAAAGCAGGGTCCTGAACAGGAGGAGCAATGAAACCAAGCATAGCACCATTTACGTCTTGTCCGGTGCCTCGGCAGGCATGACAGGTCCTTGCTGGCCCTCCTGGGAGCTCAGGAGTGGGGCCGCAGCCCCTGCCTCAGGTAGAAAGCCCTGTCTGGTTGTTGGAGTGGCTCCCAATGCGCAGGAACTGGTGGCTGTGCCCTCTGTGCCTGGAGCAGAGAATCAAACCCACAAACTAATGGAAGCATCTACAATACCCTTGAGAGATAAGGAAGAACTGTATGTATTAGATAGGTATGTATGTATACAAAAATACATGAGAGCGATCACTTCGTTCACTGTTCAGATGCGGATGCCTCTGGGGTGGCAGACATCAGCCGTTTTAGCAGCTCACAGCAGCTTTACGCAACTGATTAGGAGGGACGTGAAGAATAGGATCTATGGGCAGAGCAGTGGGGAGCCTGGATAGTTAACAGCAATATGGTTTAATATAGCATCTTTAACGTGATAGAAACATGAATGTTGGTTGCAGATTTTATAAACTTCAATTCCCAGGCTGTAATTTGCAGAGATAGTAGTAAGTTTGCAGTGTGATTCCTACTGGTCCAGGGCCGCTTTCCTTGATGGCACTTTGTCTATACTGACAAACTGCTCAGAATAGCAGTTGCAAAATAGGAAGTTATTCTGGAGCCATTTATCTACATGGTCTATTTGGGACTAAAAGTCACTGTATTGTAGGGTAATTACTATAGTAACAAAAACATATCTGTGTTCCTTGCTTAAGAAACACAAATAAAAATGCCCAACCCAACACTTACATAGACCAGACCTGCCTAATGCTATAAGCAAAGAAAATTGGTTTATTTTTATTCAGAACAGAAATTCCTCAATTCCTTTCATCAGTGGAATGCACCGCAAGTCTTCATGTTATTTTGTTTGAAAATGTAATAGAGGTTCAGGCTAGGTTCATTTTTAGCCAAGTGACTGTTAGCATACAGTCTGTGTTGCATAAATGGACAGATGTCATTTGCAATGGCTCCAAATGTTAAATCCCAACAGTCAACAGCATAAGCTTATCACAAGTGAAATCTGAGTATTACCTAATCACCATTAAAGTCTGTTTAGACTAAAGTCTGAGACAGTCATATTCAGTTGAAGGAGTCTGCTATTTATAAAAAGTTAGCTACATTCACATTTGTACAGAAAAGTCTAAGGTGAACATGGCTCAAAAGCAGGCAGAAAGGTGTAGACAAGTCAAGAATATTCTCTTCCTATTTGCAGGAGACTCACAGTACTTTAAAATCTAATTATAGAAATATATCATCTTCAAGTAGATAAACCTCTCTGACTAGAGAGTTTTTAACACCAGTGCACAAAGAAGCCTGTTTATATGTTCATTTAAACTTACAGTAGTGCGGTCATATATATGAAGGACTTTCCTAGGTCTTAGCACTTTCTGAGCTTGTTCTTAGCCTTTTTGCTGAATAGTTTATGTGACTTTGAACACGATATCTTAACCCTGTTTTCCCCTACTTCCCTTTCGGTTTTTTCTATTTCGGTTGTAGGATTTTTGGAACTTAACTATTTCCGTATATTTGTACAGAGCTTTCCGTATGCATGTCCTTCATGGCTTCATTTGTGCCCTTCTGAGCACCAGGGTAATTCTAATAGTACAGAGCCAGTAGGTATCCTTGAATGTCTGAGGAGCATGTGGAAAATAATTGGCTTCCATAGAACCAAATCCCAGTCAGACTGAATTTTACCTGTTCCTCAAAGGAGATCAAGAGGCATTTAGTTCAACAGAGAGAAACTCTTTCGGAAAATACAGTTTAACCTTGCCTATTCCATGGTTCTTTGATTAATATACCTGTATCTTTGACCCAAATGGGTCATCTGGTGGACCCATTCTGGGTCTTCTGGTTGACTGGTGTGCAGAGTGATAAAAACTATTTGTTCACCTGATTTCATGTCTCCATGCACAGAGGCTACAGTTTCAGAAACAGGTGAAACGACTCCTTCACAAAAGATCCAGTCCTAAAATCTCACCAAAGGCAAAATTCTCATATTTAATGAACTGTATTGGGATTTTCAGATTAAAAGCTCTGATGGAACCTATATATTATGGCAAACTCAAGTTTAATGTTGGTCTGTTTTAGTTAGTGAAAGATCCTGCATATTTATTTTCTTTACTTCAATTTTCTTCATTAATCTGTGTTTTTAGTACCCTTGAAGCCATTACTGATTGAGTTCATGCCTGCTTTCATTTCGTTGACTGCTGCTTTTTTTCCCTTTCTAGATAACCCACCCCTGTTCTGGTTTTCTAGACACATCTCTCTCTGGGGGAGCATTTCCTTCAACCTTGCTGTATTTATCAACTTAGCGGTTGCTCTGTTCTACCCCTTTGGAGATGATGGAGATGAAGGCAAGTGGAGTTTGGTTTTATTTTTCCTTTTATTTTCAGACACCTTCCACTCCAAAGCAACACAGTTATATAAAACAGCATCTTCAGGTATGCTCATATGTGCAGATGCCATAGAGTTAGTGTCTTTTAAGAAGGTACCAGCTGTTACCTGAGACATGGTACCCAATCTTCAGCATCACATGTCCTTTGCAAATGGACAAAACATAGTAGAGTTGAAGATGATCTGAGCTAACTCTTTTTTTTTTTTTTTTGGATATTGCAGTATACTTCTGCACATATTCAGTTACAGCCTCTGAGCTAAAGAATGACTCCTGACAGCCAAGGGACTAAGATTCCTTAAAACTCACCAATCTGAATGAGTTACAGTCTTAAAAAACATACGAAATAGAATAATATGAAAACTCTTTAGCTTGTTGGGTTTTGACTGCTTGATTTATTGGGATACAAGAACATAACTGTTGCAGCGGATAAATGCCTTATATAAAGGTATACTTAAAATCAGTGGTTCTGGCTCTGCTTCATCGCAGGTCACAGGAAATATAGCAAATAATAGAATTCATTAAATAAATGCAGCAAACTAGCACGAGGCCGCTTTGAATCCACAACAAGCTTAATTGGGATAAAGGAAACTAAATAGTTCAGGAGACTGGTAATGAGAGTCGAGCTGTTCACCTCTGGGTCTTTGATTTGTATCCAGTCTGTAATGTGACTGAAAGTCACCTCTGCCTGATGGCATGCGAACTGAGCTGGTGGAAGCAGTCCAGCTCCTAGCAGATACATGTGCTTTTCACAAACACCGGAATTGGCACCATCAGACATTCCTGTTGGCTGGCTGAACAGAAAGGCAGCAGATTAAAGCATATTGGCATGGAGACCGTGTTACCCTTTCACCCTACGGGGTGGTCTCTGCAGGTCACAGCGCAGGCATCTCCGCAGCCTCGTGCAACAAAGTTTGCAGGGTTGCGCTACGTAAAAGGATAGTGTTTGTACTTGGTGCTTTTCCGTTTGTAAACTGAAGGGCCACTCAAGAGTGCACGTCAGAGCCCATGCAATATAAGAGAAGAAATAAAGAGTTAAAAATAAACGTTTTGAAACTAAGACATTTTTAGCTAATCTATACTCATGGAAATCCTCTGGTCTGCGATCCGTAGGTATTAATACTTAATTTGAACAGCAGATTTACATAGTATTAGTTTAAGTGGCCCCCAAAATCCAGCAATGTCAGTGATAGTGCATTTCAGGATCCTAATTCCTAGTGCCTGTAAAAGTAAAAGGGATTTATTAACAACCAACGGTAGGTGTGGCCAGATGGGATTAGCATGGTCACAAGGCAGACTCCTTACTTGCAGCCTCCCCCTCCACCAAAAACTGACCTGGGAGCTGGAGTTTGTCTCACATTTTCCCCCCTTCGCCTTGAGTAAATCCTCCTATATTCACGTGTCTGAGGGCAGATCTAATCATCCCAAGAATGCTGCCTTTTAAAAGATTTCTGCAATTCTCGCATCGTATGACATAAGTGAAATTGCATGCGCAATGAGGGCTCTTTGCCTCCAGCATGCATATCATCTCTGCACACGTTACTGGTGCAGTTCCTGTGACGTGAGATTGATTGACCTGCAGTAGGGAGGAAGGAAAAACGATTTCATTGAAGAAACACCAAGGGCTTTGACCTTACCTTTTTAAAGAGTTCAGATCCACTTTGAAGTTATTTTTTTAGGATCTGTTAAAAGTTCCCAAATCTTGTTGGCGGAGAAACTATCTGACAGAGCCGACCTTGAAGCTCTTGCCAAGGGTAGAAACACTCCTGAACTTCGAATAAGGTTGGATGCCATCTGAACTTTGAGAATAGGGCCTCATCTCATTGTTTTCTAATCCCACCAGTACTACTTAGCCGGGTAGCTGTTGCCAAACAGATAGCACTATTTCTGTTGTGAGTCTAGCTAAATTTTCTATTCCATTCTCACCCGGCAACGACCTCTCAGTTCACCTGATATCACTAGAAATCAGCGTGCAAGTGTGATGGTGCCCCCAGATCTGAGCGTGCTTTCTATATCAGAGCAACATGATATATTTCCAGGGCCTTACACAGAGGTGGGGGGACAGCAGGGGCATTACTGGAAACTCGGAGAGAGCCAGGAGCCAGCGTCTTGCGCGGCAGCAGGAGGCTGACTCTGAACGCGGTAGCTCACATGCCTGCAGGAGCTCGGCAAGACCTGGGCCCCGCTGCCTCCCCAGGAGCAAGACTCAGCTCTTCAGCTGCTCGCAGCAATGCAGCTGCTGCCAGTTCCTGCCGAAATCCCGATGGCTGCCTCCCGCTGCGGCGAGCGCCTTGCTCCTGTGCAGAGGCGGAGGCTCCCACTGAACACCCGCAGCTGTTCAGCCAAAAGCCGCTTGTCTAAAACCGAGGTGATTTGGTGCTGTTTGGAACCGAAACGTGATGCTGCAGCGCAGTGCCGCTTGCTGCGCTGCCCCAAGGACTGGCTATTTCTGTAGCTGAGCAATCATGGAATTAAAGTGAGGGAGTCCTAATGAGCCCTGCAGACGGGAGCTGATTAGTAGACTGCTCCAGGAGAAGGATAAACTGCTTCATCTCGGAGCATTCCTCGGATTTTAATGGAAATTTCATTAGCTGCTCTTATTATTACCAATGCAAAATCTAGAACGCTACGAGAATAGTATTTCTTGCTGCAATTAGGGCAAGTTGTAGTCAGCAATTGTGACACGTGATTCGCTCTTTTTCATAGCTGTATTGGCAAAGGAATTGATCTGTTTCTTGGTGCAAAACTGAGTTTCCAAAGATGCCTTTTCAATTCTCCCTTTCTCCTCTATACAGGCACGCTTTCTCCGTTGTTTTCAGTCCTCCTTTGGATAGCAGTGGCGCTTTGTACAGCGATGCTGTTTTTCATCTCCAAGCCTGTTGGTATTCGACCCTTTTTGGTGTCTGTTATCCTCAGGTCTATATATACTATAGGGCTCGGTCCCACCTTGATACTTCTTGGTGCTGCTAATGTAAGTACTTAAAAAGCTAGCAGACTTTCCCTTTCAGCAGAAATAGAGATATTAAGGGTTGCCGATTAAAAAAAATTCCTTGATTAGAGCTATGCAAAGAAATTCTTTTTCTGGTTCACTGGTTGAGCCAAAAAATAACTAAATCATATCCAGTCATCCTGAAACAGCAATATCAGCAAATGGAAAAGCTGAGGAAAAAAAAGACTTTTAGTTTCTGTGTATATGGAAATATTTAAAAAATAGAACCAATGTGAAAATTAAAAGGAATATTGTTGAATAAAAATAATAAAAAGTACAGTTTTTCCTGTTAAAAAGAATCATTTTCACTACCAAATATGTTCAGCAAAATTGACCCAAAATTGTGAGATGTTTCTGTGGAATTAAATCTGTGGTTTTGAGAGGAAAAAGTTTCAACATTAAAAATTCTCCCAGCTCTTTCCCAGATCTCTTCACTTACTCATGTCTGCCTTTGCATGTTTATTGGGTGTGGTAAGATAAACAGTCGTGCTCACAAATCATCCGTTTAGATTTCTGCCTGACTGCCACAGCTCTAACTCACCTTAGAGCCAGGCAGCAAAGTATTAGCTATTTGTAACAAGTTCTGTGGGAGTTTTGCATGCTTAAAAATATACAGACATGTAGTTGAGAGTAAATATAAGGAAAGAGCATTTACTCATGTTGAAATTGTGAAAGAAAAATGATGCTGAGCGCTCATTGCTCATCTGGAACCACCAAACACATGAGATGATTGGCCCATTTTATATTGAGCTCTACCCTGCTGTTCCCTTGCAGGCAAAGCTCAGGAGCAATGGAAAATCTAATGGTGGTGCTTAAATACCGTACTTCAAAAAATGCCAGTAGTATTATTTTAGAGGTTTTATATTGAAAAACGTGATCTGAAGGAAGTAGTTAATCACTTCCCACCCCTCAGCCTATTGTGTTACTCTTGTTCTTTCTGTGATAGCCTTCCTAGCCGCTGCCATATGGTCTCGGGTCTGAACACCAAGGTGTTAGGGATTCACTCTCCAGTTTTTCTTAATGTCTTAAGGCATTAATTCCTCCCTGCCTACTCACTGATGTTACAGAAATATGTCACAACATAATGAGACACAGTGCTGTGTTAGAGGGGTGAGGTACTTGCACTTGCTCTCATGGACTCATTCCCATTGTACCTTGGGAGCTGCATTTAGCTCATGTTACTTCAGCCATCTAGAAGTTGAACATCTAGTCAAAGCAACCCACCTAGACTTTTCACATGCTACGACAATACAAACAATAAATAACATGATTTTTCTGATAGAATAAACCTAGCCTTTGTTGTCCCCCACAGCTTTGTAACAAAATAGTGTTTCTGGTGAGCTTTGTTGGGAATCGTGGAACATTTACTCGTGGCTACAGAGCGGTCATCATGGACATGGCTTTTCTCTATCACGTAGCGTATGTCCTGGTCTGCATGCTGGGCCTCTGTGTGCATGAATTCTTCTATAGTTTCCTGGTAAGTATGTGCTTCTGTGGAGGGGAAAACTGCAAAAATAGAAAATACCGTTACACATGCAGCTGTCTTTGATTTCTTCCTGACAATCAAGCCAAATCATGTGTATTTTTAGCATACCATTCTGTTGGTGCCCCTTAGGAGCTGCTGTTTTCAATAGAACCTGTTTCTATTAGGACTTATTTTATCTCTTTTACAGAGGTGAAAGTTTGCTCGTTTCTTTTCAGAAATTTGTCATACTGCCCTCTCCTTTCTCCCATCCTCCCCCAGCGTACATATGTTCGGTGTATGTTGTTCCTATAGTGCCAGTCGTGTCTCTTTAGATGGTAACCTCTTCTGAGCAATAGTTGTTGGCTTGTGTGTGTATGATACCTATACCAAAGGATCCCATTCCTCGGTGCATCCTTTGTTGCTAATGAAAAAAAAGAAAGTCACTTAGGGAGTGGGGATGGCATGCTGCTGGTGTAGCAGGAAGATTCATCACTTTAAATGTATCCCACTTTCATTTTCTTTTGTTGCCGTTAGCCAGATGGAATACCTTTTTATAATATGATACAGGTGCAGTGAAAATGAATCATAGAAAATTATACTAAACTCGGTTAACTGCTCTCCATGCTGAATAGCATTAAAAGGTGTTTTATGGCTCTTGTTTTCTAATCCTTTTGTTTTATCCTGAGCATGAGAAACTTTCAGGGAGACTGACTGAACTGTGGCCGTTTGCATGATTTCACCTTCCATTTTATCTGCTGTCGTATTTTTCTTGGTTTCCTGAGTAGTGGTGAGCCCTTGGCGTTTCATAGCACACTGACGTTTTCAGGGATTCATCCTTTCTCTAGCAGAGCTATGGTTGAAGTCAAGGTTTCCAGGTCCAAATCTTGACATTACAGTCAACTTCAAAGCTTGGATAGATTTCAAAAGAGCCAAGACTGGAGGGGGAAGTTAGCTACAGGACCCTTTTCCAATGGTTTTAACTCTCCTGCTAATTGACACCTGGCTTAAAGAATGCCCACCTAAATCATCTGTTATTCCTTCAATGAGTAAAGTGACCTCTATCTTAAAATGCTTTCCAAAGTGCCAAGTAGTGCAAGAAACACTGCATGTAGTTATGCTTCTAGATGATTGCTATTGACATATATCCTGGAGGGTGCAGTTGTCAACATTCCCTAGTTACTTACAAATATTCCCTTTGTAGTGGAAATATCCCAAACTCTGATATTTGTTCTTCATTTTAAGCTTTGTTTAGTATGGGATGAATGATAATTGTTTTCCCTCTTTCTTCCTTTATTGTTAATCCTTGCACAAGGCTGTGCATTTTAGATCTTGTGGATTGTGACTAATACTTTCTTCTGCAGACCATTTTGATAAATCATTGTGTGTCACTTTATATCTGTAATCTGGGTATTTTGAAGTAGAAATACGTATATTATAAATAAGGTCCAAAGCGCTATAGAACATCAATAGAATAGTAAAAGAAAAAAAAGCTGTAGTTTCTTGAAAAGCACTTATGGCTTCTAGTTGTTATTTTTAGGCCTTTGACATTAAAAGAGTAGTATCTTAATGTACACTTCCCTTTGAAGTTGAATACCGGAAAAGCAGATAGTGTTGACTAAAGAGGAATAGGAGTTTCTAGTTTTATACAAACACTGCAATGAATTTAACTTTGTCCTAAAAAGAGATGCCCCTAATCCTTGCACATGTGAATGACTTCTACATGGTCCCATGAGCTCAAGGAAACAGTTTACATACATGTAATGACTTGAATGCATGAGTGCTTTTCTTAGATCCAGCCCATGTATGTTTATCAAATGGAAGATAATGTGAAAAATTAATTTGTGGATATAGGTTCATCCATAGTATGGAGACATTGCTTTTGAATTTTAATCTAGCCTATTTTTGACTATGAGGAAAACAACTCAGTCTTGATCCTAACCAGTACCCAGGTCTGGATCAGTCTCATATCACAGGAATACTTTTTAACTTTGAATTTTACTGCGATCTCTCTAAAAAAATATCAGACTCTATGCTAGATTCTCTCCTCCGGTATGCATTCCCAGCTCCCACTGAAATCAGTGTGACCTGGGTGCTTGTGAAGCTGAGAGTTTAGAACATGGCCCATGTACATGTCCGTAGTTCAGCCTATGTAACACCTATCTATTGCCTCACTTGTGTTCATTTTTCCTCTGCTTTGCTTTTCCCAGCTGTTTGATCTGGTGTACAGAGAGGAGACTTTGCTAAATGTGATAAAGAGTGTTACCCGAAATGGTCGTTCCATTATCCTCACTGCAGTGCTAGCACTCATCCTAGTTTATCTCTTCTCCATCATTGGATTCCTGTTCTTGAAAGATGACTTCATCATGGAGGTGGACAGGCTGAAAATCAGGACCCCTGTTACAGGTATTGTTTTTTACATTAAAATCTGTTCCTGCTATATACCTTTTTGGTCTGTCTAACCCGCTTTTCTCTAAGGAAATTTGAATTTTGTCTTTTTATCTGTGGGAGTAGAACTGGTGCTATATGCTTTAGTAATAAGTTAAATCTCTGGGTAAAACGTAATATGTAGGGTGGTTTTAAACTAGGCATGTCTGTTGAAATACTAAAATATCACACTCACGTTTGATTTATTACATTTTCTCTTTTAACTCATGCCAACATAAAAAAAATCTGCATTTCCAAAGGATTTGAATTGAGTATACGAGTTGCTCTTACTCATAGTGGGTTTTCTTGGTACCCACCAAGTATCCACCAGGTATCCACCAAGATACCACGAGGTATCCCACCTTAAGAGCAGATCACAGTATTTTCTGAGTATTGCACATGAGGCACGTGATCTTAACATGGTCAGTAGATGTATTCATTTGATTTTTTTTTAAACTTCATCCAGCAGAAACTTATTATAGAATCCACAGTTCAGCTGATTGGAGATTTCCAGGAACAACTCTTCAATTCATTGCATGTTTCACAAGCACTATAATTAGTGTATAATACTGGCTTCAGTAAAATCATTGGGTGGTTTTTGATCAGTTTTTAAAAAGGCCAGAATTTCAGCTTTCTTGAATGAAAGAGGTACCAGTGTAGTCGGAGAGTTACAAGCTCGCTATGCTAGACAAAAACCAGATCTGGTCTGCTGAGATCTTTGGATATGCTGCCAACCAGCCTGCTGGGAGCATGGGCAGAGGAGTAACTGTCTGTGTAGAAATGCCTGAGAATAACTTGTGATTAAATTCCTAGGGGCATGATCTCCCAAATGCTGAGCTCTTCAGACCTGTACGCAAGCACAGAACAGCTAGTAGGACCCAGCCCAGACTGTGTTCGCTCTGCGTTTGCCAGCCTTACTTCGTTATTTCAGGGCCTAATGCACATGGATGAGGCAAAGTGCATTCAAGACTCATGGGCATGGGGGAGGGTGATGTACCCATATAGCTATTTTGATATTGTATGGGAACAAAAAAGAACATGATAGATTTCTTTAACACACCGTGGTTTTTGCCAGTTTTTTAACAGCCTTAAAAAGGCTAAGGTGGCTTGTATTGACTTACCATGCATTTTGGAGCTGGATTTAAGGTCTGAAGTTTCGTTTTGAGTTTCATTTAGAGAGAGGCAGCAGGCTATATGGAGCAGTGCTCTGATCCACTTCAGTGGTTAGTATGTGTTTGTGTTTCTTCTGTTGAGTTCTTAATAGATTTTCATGGCGGTATGTGTGTATTGTTGCTGGCTGTATACATTGGCGTTTCTGATCAAACTGTATATTTCTATATGATGAAACACTATGGATCCCAAGACAAGTGCTTTAAAAGTTTGTTTTATAAAGTATTACAAGAGAAAGTCAGAGTGGATCTGTTTCCCATGTTACACTGATTGTCTTAGACTGTTATTTTGCTTGTATGATTTTGCCTTCATTTTTTCTCCTTAAACCTTTTTGCATCTCTGATTTGAAATGCAGAAAATTGTTGTAGAAGCACAAGATAAAATTGGTTTGATAAAATGAAGCTGATGTACACATTTACCCACTTTGGGAATGTTAAATTAGTGTTTTACTCAAACCCATACATATTTACAAATGAGTACCAAACTGTGTTATAATCCTTGAAAACTCTTAAATATTCTATGTTCAGGATAACTGAACATCAGCTTGGTGTCCTTCTTGTCAGCTTTTGTGAATAATTTATCTAATGTTTTTAAAGCTGACGTTATTTTCATATCTGACAGTTGTTGCTTGCTTTGAATGTATTTTGTTCTAGCCAGAAGTAGCAGCATTTGATGTAGATTCATTAATTTCGGGAGATGAAATGGGACTAGCTGTGATATACAGTAAATATAAAATTATGTTTTTGTTCCTTGTGATTGCTTTGAGCAGTTGAGGCTGAGGGGAGGGAGGAATTGGTGGTATGATTTGGTGTGCTTTTTCGTATCAACTTTTCAAATCAGTGACTTGCTTCTAGAGAATAGCGATTTAAAACTTTGTATCAATGGGCAGATTTTGCAATATCTGTATTTTTGTGAAGATCCTACTTTCTCCTCAGGTTTTGGTGAAGTCCCCACCACAACCCTCACATCAATGATGGGAGCCTGTGCAAAAGAGAACTGTTCTACAAGCATCCCAGTTATTAACCCAGGTTAGTACAAAAGTTCCCCCAAAATGGTAATCAATTAGAACCAAGGGATTTGTGTGTTATTACTACAGAGACTTTTCCTGGCATAAAGAGTGATGTTCACTGCTGTAACTCAGAAGCGCTCAATTTTTGCAAGGCTTGGAGCTGAGCTGGCAACTTGCCTATAATGCAAGTGCTTCCCACACCTGATTTCCAACTGCATTGACATTAATTTTGTTATCAAAAGAGCATGCTGAATCATTATGCTTGAATGTGCAGGTTCTTTCTTTCTAGCTGACTTTGCTGAAAAGAAAAGCTTGCTGCTGATCTACATCGTCCTGACCTGCACGAGAGCCACTATTAGATCCATTTTAGGACCACATAAGTTGATTTTGGTTGTGTAGCACATATCAGCGAGTATTTGCATATGCTTTTTACATGCATCTAGCAGGGGTTGGAATGTAGCCAGAAGACGTAAGAGCTCAGACTCTGGATCCAATTACTATGTCTTAACAAGATACCATGGCTCAGCTGAGCATGGATTGCACCTGGGCACTTGTAGCTTGTGGCAAATGCAAGGGAATGCAGCCTGTCACA